CAAATAGGCACAGCCTCAGCTTTCGCTTATGATGGGGCTCTGACAGGCCATTGTGCGATTGGTATTCACGCTTTAAGATGAGGAAGCTGTTATGAGGAAGATGAAATGGAAACATCTCCGCAATTTTCCAGAGATCAGCACTCCCTTCAGGCATCCTTTCACTGCCGAGAAACTGACACTTTCCAGTCTTATATTCGAAGTTTTGGTTCTGGTAGTTTTACCTAATTTTATTCAATTTTCCAAGCGATCTTATTTAATTTTTGTTTATATTTTTATTTTTTTTTATGATTTCATTTTAACTAGCCTCTCGTATCCTTTTGTTCAATTTCCTTATGTCACTGCATATAATTTTTAATTTTGTTGCCAAAAGGATAATTGTTTTTTACTCAGCTCAATTTTGGTCATAAAAAGTCATAATAGCGTGCATATTTTCTGAATAAAATCTGCCCGCAGGTGAACTCATTTATCAACCTTTTTTCGGCTGTCGCAGAATGCTCTACACTTCATTTTTTTATATACATACATATGTATGTAATCCTTTTTATTTATTTTATTTTATTTAGTATTTTTGTCTGCCTGAACGTGTGCCGTCAACCAACCGCTTAGTACTTCAGTGGCATTTTTTATACAATCCATAAACTAAGTTTGTTAATCGCGAAAAAAATTAAATTGAATGTAAAAGTTTTGTCATTTTTAGGAGTACTTTTATGTTACCCTTTTCTTTTTCGCATTGCTACCACTCACTACGCTTGGGAACATAACAAAAAGTTCCTGCTGAGCCATGTTTTATTGTTATAATTTACTGGTTAACATTTTTATTCATTTTCACAAGAACTTTTTTGTATTCGCAAAACTATTCGTATTTCTTTGATCTTCCATTTTTACATTGTTGCTATCATTGCTACGTCTGTATGAGCTTACAAACTGATTTGCTTATTTATGTATTTATGCAGCTTAGTGGAAAATAACTGTGACAGTATTTTACTTTTTTACTTTGTGAAAATAAAACAAATGCCACTATGTTTGCATAGAGCAAAAAGAACATTTAGAAGGCAAGCGAAATATTGCAGCAACAGGCGTGAGGAATGAATTTGAATAAAAACTCAAAAATATAAAAAATAGAAAACACACAGCTTTGCAAAGTGCCGCTACTCAAACATAAATGCAGACGCCTATTTACTTTTTTATTGTTCAATTTGCGTGTTTGAGCTTTTTGTTGTTGCTTGCTTCACACCGCCCCGCCACAATGGCTGCTGTGGGATTAATACAAACACTATTTTGTGAGTACAATATTTTTAGCGACATTCTGATTTTTATAACTTCTATTGCACAAATAAAAATAAAAGGAAAGGAAGCTTTAGTGGCTTTTGTTTAATTAAATCATTTCATCTTTATTCACCACTTATTTTTTTTTAAGACTTGAATGGCTTAATATTTTTGTTTTAAATTGCTGTTGTGGGTGAAAGATTGTCAACATTACACATGACAAATAACAGATATCTATATTTGAAAGCCAGTAGACATACAAACATATGTACAGAGCGATGTCCATAGTGCTCTTTTGAAATATGAAATATCGGTACAAGCAAAATAAGCTCATCGATAATCAATTTAAGCTAATTTTATACAAAGCAACCCTACACACTTAAAGCTTTTACAATCCATGAAGCATTTAGTCACCTGTTGTTCAACTCACCTGTTGCATTTTTGCGCGCATAAAAGTTTGGAATTTCTCCAAACGTTCTGGCACTATTTTCATTTTAGTTTTTCCTATGCATATGCTTACATTACAATAAAAACAAAGGAGGACTACACCGAGACAAAAGAGCGTCACGAATATTTGACTTGTAGAATTCAGGAACAGTTTTAAAAATACTTGTCTTAAGAAAATTAGAAAGCCATTTAAAAGCGCGTCCATAAATGCGAGATCGAAATCTTAATACATTTGCGCACACAGTCAGCATAAAAAGTGTGCATACCCTGACGTTTTCGCGATTTTATATAAAAAAATATGGTTAATTCAACAGCAAAAACCACAAGAATTAATTTTTTTTTTTTCATACAAAACTCGGAAAAATACTCGCATACCAAGAAACTTTTTTTTCAATTTTTTAATTCAATTTCTTAGAAAAAATTCCGTCAATATAAGGCAAGCAAGCAATCTTTTTTTATAAAAAAATGTACGCGAAACCCCTTTAGTAAAAGTTCTCAAAAATTAATTGTAGTTTTTAGCGACATGAAACTTACTAATTTTTAGCAAAAAAAAAACCGACTTCAACTCCCATATAAAAAAAATATATATATATATATCTCATGATCCACTGATCGGATCTCAACCAGATTAGTATGGGACCACCTCTGAGACACTACCTTTCCGATGCAAAAAGAATTATCGAAGTCGTTTGACGTGGTCCAAAGTTATGCGGTAACATACATAAAAAAAAAAAAAATCAAAAAAAAATTTTAAAAAAATTTAAAAAAAATATTCCGACGAACTGATAACCTCCTCCTTTTTTGGAAGTCGGTTAATTAGAAAATTTCTAGGAAAATTTCTTGCCCTTTTCCAAGTTCTACATGAAATTAAAAAAACGCATCCTTGTGGTTTTTGCTGTTGAATGAATTTTGTTTTTATAAAAAAATTTAAAAAAGACAATTTTTTTAATTGTTTTTTAAGCCTTTTCCGAGATATCGATTTTTGAAAAAAAGCTCCTTTTTAGATACCCAAAATTTTACAAACCATGGGCCGATTGGATTTGGAAATTAAAAATATTTTAAATTTTTTAATCGATTTTTGAAAATAAAAACTTTTATTTTTTAAATGCTCATAAATTTATGAAAAATGTACTGATTGGAAGCATTTATTTGGCTTTTTTCATTTTCAAAACACTTTTGCAAAATAAAATGGAAAAAATTTCTATAAAATTCCTACAAAATTTTTATATTTGTATACAATAACATAACTTTTGACCACATTAACCGATTTCTATAATTTTTTTAAAGAACGGCTGTACCTCAGAGGTCCCTAACTAATTTTGTTTACCGCATCATCAGATCATGAAGAAATTAACGGTATACAAGTTACTTGTTAACATATAATATATATAAAGTTACTTGTTAACATAAAATATTGATTGCCCAAAACACGTTTTGATCATCTTTCTAGAAAATTTTTTCTAAAAAAGTGTCACTCATTCCGCAAGTGTTAAGTTTTGTCCGAAAATGGAATAACATAGCTTAAGAATTCTGGCTGTATCTAATCAAATACATTAATCAAAAAATATAGAAACAGAAAAAGAAATTATCTATATATTAGCAGTGGGAGGTACTACGCTAATCACTTTCGTATAATCAATTGATATGGTTTTCCTTATGGGGAATTTACATGAGGCGATTTCACTGGCAACTATTAATTAAATGAAGCGGTTAAATGCCCTTTCCCTAATCGCGTCCAATAGAGTTGGTCAGTTGACGACTTTCGTTCAACTTTTGATTCAAATAATCGCCTATGACAGTTGAATCATCTATGTTCCCTATTAAAGTTTGACCATTCGCCGTGGCGTATGAGTAACTTTATTTCCTGCTTATATTTCATACAAAAAAGATCATTGAAATTACCAATTTATTATGCGAAAGTGATAAGTTGAAGCGTAGTACTTCCCACTGCAATTATATAGAGAATTTCTTCCTCTACAATGCAGTGTTTTTAGCTTTTTGATTAATGCAACTGATTTGACGCAGTCAGAGATCTTGGCATTGAGTTGGACCAAATTTGCTAGTTTTTCATTAATTTAAAAATTCGACCCTCCTTTAATATACCGTACTAGACTTAAAAGTTGCGGAATGAGTGAGAAAATTTTTTTTTCGTAGTTTTCAAAAAAATCAATCGTACGTGCTTTTCTAAATCATTCATTTATACTAAAAATTTTAAAATTTTATGGATATTGTGCAGAAATACGTTTTAGAAAATTCTTTTCTATTGTATGCTCCAAAAATATTTTGAAAATTAAAAATTAAAAAAAAATGTTCCCACTCGGCTCAATCGTTGCAAATGTATAGGCTGTACGGATTTTTTTTTAATTAGCGAGGCCTCTCTCACTTGGTACTATAAGCTAAACATTATGAATAAAATAGGAGATGCAAAAGCCAAATGGTGATGGTATTTAAATTTTTCACAATTTTAGGCGGCATTCCTGGAATTATGGGTAGGTTTTCATTCGCGGTACAGAACCAAACCTCAAAAAAAAAAATCAGCCATTGAATCCACTAAAGCATTTAACAATTTTGGTGACTTTTCTCTGAATAGAACTGAATATTTGTGAACGTATTTTTTTGTTATTTTTTAATTATTTTTTATGGCAATTTATTAATTTTCTTGCGACAATTTTTCAAATTTGCAATTAATTGAGTGAAATTTTTAAGTTTTACATAAAATAGGTCGAAGTGGTGATAAACTAACAAATGAATTTTTTATCTTCATATTGTTTAAGTACTTCTTTAACCCTTCCTGTTTCCCTTAATATTCGCCTGGAACAAATATTTTTTTTTTGTTTAGAACTAAATGCCACTAAAAAATTCGAGCACATCCCCTAATCAAATTATATATCAGAAGTTTAACTGTGTTTTTATTTTTTCGTATCTTTCGCATTCGTTATGTTTATAATAAATTCATTTCTTTAAACACGTTGAACAAATTTTGTTTCACATCGCAACTTCGAAGTCCATTACTTTTCATTCCCTATCTATTACGTATAGCTTTTTACCACGCTTTTCAAAAAAACTCAATATTTTCAATTGCTTTCAGCTTAATTTTTGAAATTCTTTCAACTGTACATACAATATTGCAAATTCGTATTATTTTTTTTTATTACTTTTTTTCTTATTGGAAGTCACAACAATTGCTTGCGTCAACTTATTCACAAAAACGCCACATTAAACGCAAAGCCTTCAAACAACACTTCCACAAGCGCACAGCAGCAATAATAACAACAACAACTCAATACCACAAACAACACTTCCGTGACACTTCCGCGTGGACAGCTGTGGCCGTTTAGACAACGTTTTTTGTTATGCGGTTTTTCCGTTCTGTTGGAGTACTGCGCGACTCGCGCACAACGGTAAGCGACAGCTAACTATTTGCACGCGTTATTTGCTACAAAATATAAAAAAAAAAAACAATTTTTTTGCTATACTGTCACTTCAGCCACTTAGCGGCTGTCTGCTGCCACTTGCGCGAAAATACCGTTGCGTTTTGAATGCGTTCGCCATGGGGCACTGAAATTTATATAGCACCACCGCTTACGGTTCAAAAACAACAACAGCAATTATAGCAAAAACCGCGTGATGACAGACGAATGAGCCTAATTTAATTAGGCTAAAACGATAAATATTTGAGTGTGTAAAATATGGTGGTGGTAAGGGGCAAAATAGTAAAAACAAAACTTACACATACGAACGCATAAGATGTATTTCCTATGAAAAAGCAGATTTGATGGATGTTAATAGTGTGGCATACAAATGTCAGTAACGCACAGAATGGGGAAGACAAATTGCTGGAAGTCTGTGTGTACGAGTATGTGTGTGTGGGTGTGTAATTGCGTTTACCCAGTAGAAATCGATTGTATGCATTCAGGAAAGTATGCATGCTGTATGAGTGAAATAGTTGGAACATTTCATGCGACGTCATGAATTTCCAAAAATAAATTCAAATTCTAGCGAACTGCAAGCAAACGTATGTTGTTGTTGTTTTAAGTACATTTCTTGATAAATTTGACTACTATACAGCAGTGGATTTTTTGTAATATTTGGAGTCTTGTACAAAAATTTTACTGAACGGACGTGTTGTGCGATAATATTTATGTTCCATTAATGCAGTTTCGTATGTTCGAAACCTTATAACAGCCATATGGATACAACAGTAGTACAAGTGTATGGTTAGAGTACGCATACGCTCTGAGAAACCACACGTGTTAATTGGAAATGAAGGTTAATTTATACTGGCTTGCGTACAAAGCACCAAGTTCATGCCACAAACAGCGATGTCGTATGCATAAAATTTCTACTGGGTAATTTTGTATTTATTTGTATATGTATGTATATGTGAAATTTTACAATATCCCCACACATATACATACATATATATTTACAGATGTAAGTATGTATTTTCACAATTATTTTTATTTCCATCTAAACAAGTCTACTTGTCAGTCACTCAGCCGCGGACAGCCAATGTTAACGAATGTCTCAGCCATCATAACGCAACATGACAGCAATAGAATTTATGTAGTCGCGTTTTAGGCGCCAGTTGTATTACTAATAGACTAATGAGAATACTGTCAACAAGTGTTCATTATACATATCTATGTATGTATATATAAGTACATGCCTTACACAATTCTATAATTTCATTTCCGAAAGAAATAAGAAATTGAGACTCAGAAAAACGCATAGCAAGTATCAAATAATTAAGTAAAGAATATATCCTCAAGCTTTTTCAAAAGGTACAAAGGAGTGCGGAGCTATGCATACGTTGAGCTCTTTGTTCCTCCCCGACCGAAGAGTTTAACGTGGTCCTATATCTGCCCCAGCTTGATTTAGTAGCTCGGGAAACCGCCGCTATTGCAGCCTTAAGACTTAGAGAGCAAGACTCCTGGACTCATGGTCCATCAAAAATTATATCCTTTTAAAAGAATGAATTCCCAAAATTAAATAAAAAATGTTTAAGTTATAAAAAATCAAATGGCTGAACTAGTCCTGAAAAAGTCCAGAACATTATGCACATGTTATCGTACATATTTGGTGCACCTTTTTGTTATTTATTTCTGAATATCCAAATCGTCTCATGTCACAAAATTCACTAACTTATAACCTAAGTATCAGTATCAGTATTATATGACAGTAGACACTTGATTAACTATAACTATTTCAAACAAGCTTATGTCCTACCCGATTACAGCGATTCTCAGCCTCTTATCTCATCAAAAATGGGGAGACGGATGCGATATACTCACACTCAACGAGAATTTGAGTACCGTACAACTTTCTTGCGTCAGAAAAAGTCCTCAACGAAGCCGCAGAGCAGTTGCAATCACTACCAACTACAATAAAACGCAAGACAGTCTAGATATGTATATAAACCGTGTTTAGACGCTGTTACTATAGTATTTGGATCTGTAAAATGCTGAGGTCGTTCCGAAAAAACACGCATCACTTTCTTTCTTGCACTTTGCTTTGAGTGGACCGTAAAAAAGCAAAAGATAGGTACCTTCAAGAAAGAAAAGAGAAACATGAAGCCGAGAGCGCGCAGAACTTTAAATCCGGACAGGAAGAAATCTGGCTCGATAATTCTACTGGAAAATTGGACAACAATGGATTGTATTCTAGACCGGTGCTAATAACTGCAGAGATGAATATCGAAACCTCGAAAGTCGAAAGTGGTCCAAATTACACAAGAGATATTAAGACAAACTTTTCAACACTCCAAAGCTCTGACCAATGATAAAGCGACTTAAAACCAACAAGGCGCAATTTGGTCAGATGGATACATGTACGAGGATGGCACACTCCACAAGAAGGGTGATCCTGCTCTTTGCGCCAATTACCGAGGGATAGGCCTTCTCAACATTTTCAATAAGTTTCTATCAATGACAGAGTTGGAAATAAAGAAACTCATCGTGAATCAAATGCGTTGGTGTCAAGCAACCGCGTAAGCAATTTTGGCCGAGTCAAAAACAGCACGCCAATCATTTCTCTCCTGTATCAACTGACGCCAATTGGAAATGCCAAGAGAATCCAAATATTTTTCCACCTGATCTTTTTAAAGCCTCTAAAGGAAGGAAAGGACCTCTTCGCACCAAACGAAGTTCCAAACAAGGTGACTCACATTCATGCGACTTCTTCAAGCTTATATTGGAATGCGTAATAGCTTCGTACAGCCATCGCGATTATAGTCGTAATAACCAACAAGCAAAAAACAAAGGCACATCCAATTTTAGATTTTAACCATTTTATAACAATTTCTGCTCTTATGTGGTCTGAGTGCGCTTTTTGCCAAGAATTGCACTTCAAATTGTTCGCAGTTCATTTATGCGATTCAAGTCAATTCTGATTTTGTTGATATATTATTATAAGTAATTCACTTTTGAATGCACTCATAGCATACAGCAATTTCTGTTATCAAAGGATATACAATTGCATTACTGTCAAGTAAAATACTAATGCAATACAAACATTTCAATATTATTTCCACCCAAAAATCACAGCTATTTAACTTACTGCTATCAGTGGGTTGAAGTATTGAAAGCATTTTGTATTGATAGTTCATTTCATAAGAACAAGACTCTTCAATGCACCAAACGTGGAGGAGGAGCTGTAAAAAGTGCTTTATAGGCAAAAATAAATTTTTCCACATTTCGCTTGCAACTTTTCATTCTTTGTTTTCGCATAAATCCAATATTTCAGTCATCCTCAATCATTTGCAAACACACGAGTTTGTACCTTAAGTGTATTTCAGTTAAAGTGCATTTTTTAAGAATTTGTTTTTGAGGGCAGAATACAAGGACGTGCGCAACATGTGGCATTGGAGAGTTACTGCTCAAAACAAAAAAAAAAACATTCACAAAAAATCTCTGCATCGTTTAAAACTGCACCAGTGGCTCCTTTGAGTTATGCTATGAAAGACTAACTTTGTTTCTCGGTAATTTTTGGCCATTGGTTTTAATACTTAGGCCTATAATGCGGCTATCTCCAGCTAAATTCCAACCAAAGCCCGTAAAGGAAGCTTTGAAGGAAGCTTAAAAGGAAGTTTAAGGGTACCTTCAGGAAAGCACAGAAGAAGTTTTGGAGAAATTTGTGCGACAGCCTAGAAGAGAAGCCGGAGCAAGGCCACCTAGGGAAGGAACTTTCGAAGTATCCGGCGTCTGAGGCGTAGTTTTTATTAGGAAGACGAACGCCAACTGACCGTCAAGTTGCGAGAAAATACTATATGTTTTACTGATTGCACACTTTCCAGAAAGTTCCTCGGAATCCAACCATCTTTACTTCTAGCTTTCCATTGACATCTGTGAAAATTATAGGTGCCATAAGGGTGGACTGGGCTACAGGGCCTTGCAAATCTGCGGGAATGGGGGTATTTTCCCCGAGGTACTTCAGGTGAAATTCGGCACTCTGATCCCGTGGTTAGTTTTCCTATATGCGGCTTGTCAAATATCAAACCTCATACCCAAGATTTGGACGCTAGAGTAAGTTTTGTTTATTCAAAACGGAGCAAATTATTTCCATATAAAGCCAAACGACTTCCTACCGATAACCCTTACTGCCTTCTTTCACAAGGTTGCAGGAAGGCTGTTGGATATGCATACCAAGCTGTAGACTAACTAACTATCAGCATGATCAGCAGATTTCTTGACACATCTCTTCGATTCTTAGAAGAAAATTAATGAACTCTTCTTAATCTAACTGCCTAAAATAATGCAGAGTAGGGATTAAGCAAAATATGTTATGTTCACGCACAATTTGAATGGAAAATACTCTTCAAGATGACTCTTAGCCAAAGTTTTATTGAGTGAAAAAAATTAATACTTCATATCACGGCAAAATTTATTCGAATATATGCGTTTTGTTCTTATTGAGCTCCATAAGGACATAGCTCTTCTAAAGTAACATGCCTGCACTAAGTACTTCGCTACTCCCCACAAAATCTTCCTTAATTTTAGAGTAGTTGCATGCTATTTATGTTAGCAAAAACAAAACAAAATTTAGTGGCTGCAAATAGAAAGTCAGCCAAGGGATGCATATACATACATATACAGAAGAAAAGCAATATAATATTAGTTGACTGCTGGCTGCCATCTTTTCAGCTTATAAACATAACAATAACATAACAATAGAGAAAGAAACAAATACAAAAGCAAATAGAGCGGAAATCTGTAAAATCTGTAAAATCTGTGTGTCTAGTGGCATTCGTTGCTGGCAGTGGCACGAGCAGAACTAGCAACAGCAAATGCACACAAGTTGTGGGGAGAATCAACCGACACTAACTCAACTTTAGTTTAAGTAGAAATCCACAGTAGCTCAACGAAGTAAAGTCAAAGTCGAAGAAGCCATAACAAAGTAATCCAACGCTAATACGAGGTTAAGAGGCAAGTTTAATACGAGCGTGCGCACATGTGTATCTACATAAATTTATGCATTTATAGTCACATGTATTAATATATACATACATACATATGTATGTATG